TCCCCGGAGCTTCCAGGCTGGGGCACCCCTTGGGAAAGGAAACCCAATCCTCCGGCTGCCGGCGGTGACTGAAGGGGAGAGGCGAGAGGCAGGAAGGCACGGCGGGCGCCGGCTGCCCCCGGGCCGAGAGGCAGCCTCAGGATTCCCCAAGCACTGTGGCCTCCGGTATAAGGGGCAGGCCCGTCCTCACGCGCCGCCCGCACGCAGGGCCCGTGGAGGCCTGGACAGCCCGCTTCGTCCCAATCCTCCCGGCCCTTGGCCTCCAGGGCGGGGTTAGCCGCAGACGTACTGCGAAGATAAAAAGTGGCCCGGGGGGAGGGGAGGACAGATGACGCGGACCGGAGAGGGCGCCCAGAGCTCTGGGGGGCGCGGCCCATGGACCCCCAAAGGTCCTCGGCAGCAGTAGTTCGGAGGTGATAGCGCCAGACTCAGGGTGAGGTCCAGCTCCGGGGTTAGGATGGGGGCAGGTGTCCGGGACGACACGGCTGCCGGGTCTCGGGCTCGCTCACCTTCTCCTGCGCGCGGGTGAGCTTCTTCTGCATGTTGCTGGCGATCTTCCCTGCCGTCACCCCCTTGCTGCCCATCTCTGCCATCGCTCCTCGGGCCTCGCCAGGTGGCTGGCGCCGAGCTCCCAGCCCCAGCCCCGGCCGCCGGCCCCGGTCCGGCTCCAAGCCGCGCACTGGATACGCGAGCCGACTGGCGGAGGCGGAGCGTGCGCCGGGCGAGCGAGCTAGAGAGCAACGCGGGCACCGAGCGGGGGTGAGTTGGAGATGGGGGGTGGGGGTGGGGACGGACTGAGGGAGGGGGAAGGGGAGGGGCCGGGCTTGCAGCGGCGGTCAGCGCCCCCAACCCGCGCGGGCCAGACAAGACACTGCGTTTTAAAGGGCCGCTCTGGCTTGGGAACCTCTCTGCGCGCTGGGAGGAAGCAGCGAGCACACGTGCGGGGGGCTTGAGTGAGCGAGACTCGGGAGACGCTAGTGACCCCGCCCCGGGGCAGGGACTAATACAACGGTCTTGGGTCCGCCGCCGCCGCGGGCCGTGTTCTCCGCGGGCCGGGTTCTCCTCCGGAGTAGCCACCTTCTGCAGCCCAGGAAGGGAGGCCTGATGGAGAAGGGTGCTTTCAAAAAGCGATTGGTGTGCCCCCCTGGAATCCGGGAGCCCACACTTCTTCCGGGGCTTCTCTGGCGCGGCTCTCGAAGCTCCGCCACCTCCCGGCTTGCAGACTCACCGGTTTTCTCCTGGCGCCTCTGAGACATGTTCACATCCCTGTCCCTGCAGCCTAGTCCCATGCCAACCAGGCGCTCAGTCTTCCAGTTTGCTGATAATTATTATAACAGCCTAATATAACTGAGCCCTCACTGTGTGCTTGCACCCTGCCAAGATGCCTCCTGGAGTAGGCATTATCGCATTCGGTCTCCATGACAGCTCTATGAGGTAGGTGCTATTATTAAAATGCATTTTAAAAGAATTATTATATTAGTTATTCAATTAATAATAATAGAATTATTATTTTCATCTCACAAATGAGACACAGAGAGTCCTGGAACCAGATCTCTGACTCTACACCCCAGGCTCTCAACCACTATACCCTGGGTGTCTCTTGCTTGCTGGAAAAAAAAAAATGGTTAATGATCATTATTCAAAGAAGATAAGGTTACTGCTAACCAGCTTTGCCAACGGACCAATGACATTTATTCAACGTGAATAAATATATATTGAGTTTACTAATTCCACCCACACCCCTCTGCCAAATCATGTCAGGACTGTGAAGGATGCTGTAACTCTTTGCTGCCCTGGAAGGTTTCTCAGGGACTGTGGGCTGAGTAAAATGGAGAAAGGAGTCCTGGAGGCTCTGCTGAGAGTGAGGAGGCCTAGACATGTCCAGTGGGTGGACAGGAGCCAGGGCAGAAGTCCATGGGAGCAGGAAGGGATCTTGCAGACCATCGGACAAGCCTCCTATACAAGTAGAGAAACAGACTAGGAATAAGAGGTTCAGCCTGGGTTTCACAGCCAGTTCTCTCTTCCGTTGGCCTGGTAGGTCCCCTGCACTCTCTGGCTACTCCTGGTTCTTCCCATTACTACTCAACACCAACGGGGAAGGATCATAAACAGCCCTCCCTCCTAGCCTATTATTCCTATTTTGCTAAAAGACTGAGAGTCTGCTGAAGGTCACAACAGATAAGCGGAGATCCAGATCTAGGCCCTCCTGCACTAAAGCCCTCAAGTGACACACTAAACTCCTTCCCAAAAAAAGCACCAAGCACTGCATGAATGGAAAGCATTTTGTCAAAATTATTATTATTATTATAAACTCATGCCTAATTTGTGAGTTACAAAAACAAAACCTAAATAGTGCAGCCTGAGTTTTAAGGCAGGTTTCTCCTAAAAGCTCAACATGCTTTCACCGCAGTCTCTCTCCTCCTCATTTTATATTTGTCATTTTTCTAACCATTCTCTAAAAGCAATTTCTTCCAGCACTCCTCTGAGGAAAGGAGGAAATGAGCAGAAGTCAAATCCTATTACAGTCAGTCTCCGGAAACCGTGGGAAAGTAGACTGTGCTGGACTTTGATATTTGGAAATATCACTTGACAAAAAAATTGGAAGCAATTTAAGTGGTTATCAACAGGAGAGGGTCAGCTAGATGGCACAGCAACCAGAGGGGCCAATAGGGGATCATTTTAAACAACCATTACAGAGATTATGTAGCAACATGAAAATATTGCTTATAGGGCCTGCCGAGAGGTTCGATGGTTAACAGTTGGCTTGGGAGCATGAGCTCTGAGCAGCAGGGCCACCGGTTCGGATCCCACACGGGCCAGTGACGCTGTACCCTATATAGTTAAGATGATGAACAACAACAGCTGGACCTGGAGCTGGGCTGCTGAGAGTAGCTGGCAATGGCATAGGCTGCAGTGGGCTGCAGTGGGCTCCCGTAAGCTACCGTGAGTGGCTGGCAGCCTCCGTGAGCTACCATGAACCGCCATGAGCGGCCATCCAATGGCCAGCAACCGATCTGCCTCAGCCGGGAAGAGCACAATAATCATAGTACCAACATAGGCCAGTGAAGGGACGTCCTCCATAACTAGACTGAAGAACAAAAGGACAGCAAGTTGTCTGTTCCCCTTCCCTGATTCCCCAACACTGTTCCCTCCCCCAATTCCCCAATAAAAAATTTAAAAAAAAATCTTGCTTGTAGTATAACTATGAGTGCAAAGGAAAAGATAGGAAATTGTGCATGCACTATCCTTGCAACCACATAAAACTAAATATAAATGCTCATGACCAAAGACTCGAAAGAACCAGGCACAAAAGAAATAGATGTGTTAAGGTCAAGGCATTGTGGCTGCTTTTTTCCCCTGAATTTCCTCAATATTCTGTAATTTCTATATTGCCTTCACAAAAAAAGCACACACAGCCCTACCTTTAAAGAAGGTAATTTTTTTTTTTTTAGCTAAGCCATCCTGCCACCTGTTGGCAGCTCAGCAGCTGCTCAGCTCAGGCCAGGACTCGAACTGCTGTTGCTCAGAGCTCAAACTCTTGAGTTCTTAACCAACTGAGCCACTCGGCTGGCCCAAAAGAAGGTAATTCATTATTTGATCTCTAGATTGGAAAGACTTCTAAGCACAAAAGCATTGGAGGATATATGAAATAAAAAATGCTATTATAGTTTGGTGAAATTAAAATTTTTTAAGCTTCAAAAAATACCATCAACTCATAGGATGAAAATTTGGAAGGAAATGCCCCCAAATATCAGTACAAATCCACGAGGTAGGAATGTAGGAGATTTTTACTTTCTTCCGGATGATTTCTATAGTGTCTGATTTTTTTTAAAAATCATGGTAGCTCCTTGTTTTTACTACCATAGGGGGAGAAAAGCTATTTCCATTTTGAAAAAAAAAATTGACTTAAAAAACTAAAGTGTAAAAACTAGAGAAATATTTTTTGAAAATAAAATAGAACTTTTACAATTAATAAAAACGTTAAAATCCCACTGTATAAATCGGTAGATAACACAAATGGACAATTCACAAAATTGGAGATTCAATAGTTTTTAAAAGTTCAGTTTTACCAGAAAAAAAAGGAGTTCATTAAATCAATGAGATACCATTCCTGATCCCACTTTCATCAAATCAGCAAATCATTTTTTAAATTACGCTACTTAAAACCAGAGAGACAGACACTCTCACATAACTGATACAAAATTTTTGGAAAAGAATCTTGCAACATGTATTAAGAATCATCAAAATATCCATATTCTTCAACCCTAGAATCTCAAATCTAAGAAATAATTCAAAATTTTAGCAAAGCTTTAATCACACAGATGTACATCACATTCATTATAATTTTTACAAAACTGAAAATGTGAGTGTGAGCTATTTACTATTGCTGTTGTTGTTATTCGTGTTTGCTCACTCCCTCAGTCTGCAAACATTTCTGAGCACCTACTGTGTACCAGCCCTGTGCTCACTCTGCAGAAACAGCAGTGGGTGCAATGAAGCCCTTTCCAGGGGGTACCTTGCCATGTGGGGAGGGGAAGGAGGACCTGGGAGGGGTTGGAGGCTCTTTGAAGAAGCAATGTTGAAGATGGGAAGTCAGCATTGACAGGAGAACAAGGTGCCTAGGGAAGGCCTGAAATGTCGAGGCAGGAAGAAACTGGCCTGTCTTTCCTTGTGCCGCTGCAGCACCCCAGCCTCCCAGCACTGCATCCCTCCTGCTCTAGCGGGGAGACACCCAGGCCTGTCCAGCCCGCCCTCAGATGTCTACAAAAAGCCAACTACAGTAGAGCCATACAGATGTTTACCAAAATAATAATACTTGTGAAGTTTTCTTGTGATGGGAAGTGCCTATAATGTGTTGTTAACAATGCAGGACATTAAATTGCTTAACAGTATAGGATCGACTGCTGTCAAAATATGGTGGTGTCTCTGGGTGGAAGAATTCCACATGAGGGTTTTTTTTCTCTTTTTTGTTTTCCAAATTTTGCACATGTTCTATTTTGGTAATCAGATATAAATGCTATTAAAAATACAAATATTTTTATTGGAACGAGAAAGCTGTCTCCTGAGACTGCTCGGGCTGCCACAATGTGGCAGAGTGGAAGGAGAAAGTGCACAGGCGGGGCATGTACTGTTCCGCCCCCCCCCCCCCCCGCAGGTTGGGCCTGCAAGGTTGGCAGGGATTTTTCAAACAGTGAAGAACTCAGACAAGCGAAGGGCGGTCCTCCTTTCCCTTGGAGAGAAAAGAGCACCTATGTCTTCCTTTTGTCCTTCGAGAATTGAGTACGAGGCTATGGACCAGCACGCTATCATCTTCGTCGTCGTCATCATTCTGTATTACAGAACAAGGGAGTTTTTGTTTATACTCTTTCGACTGACAGAACAATCCTATGTTTGACAGCAGTGGGACTTTATGCCGTTCTTTTATAGGTTCAGACTTGGAGAACCAACCAGAAGGCACACGCTGAGGTCACTTAGCACCTTGCCATCTCCAGTGCCTAAACAAAGCACTTCCCACTTCAGTCCTGGGCCCACCCGCCCTGGCATCATCTCTGAGAGAGACGGAGGATCCAGGGGAATCCACAGGCAGAAGCAGAAGGGGAGTCCTTTTTCCAGAAGCGTTATTTCAGGGCAGCACATGTGTGATACGGTGTCCAAGAACGGCCCCCTAACTCAAATTATTCGCATTCCCTCTCACATGTAAAATGC